CGGGTGTACGTGGGGGAGGGGGGGGGGGGGGGGGGGGCAGGTGGCCGACCTTACCCGATCGCCCCCCTCCTGGAGATAGGTGTGAAGGGCCGCCACCCCGGGGTGGCACAGGGCCCCTGCTGAGTATTGCCAGACGTGTCCCCCTCCTTCCTCCCCCCCCCCCCCCCCCACCCCACACAACCAACACACCATCCCCCCTTCCTTCATTGGTGCTTCAACATGCGCGCCCTGGCTATTCTCTCGGGTCGGTCCCATCCCCTCCTGGCGGAGTCGATCGCTGACCGCCTTGGCGTGTCTGTCGGCGAGGTCCGCCTCATGAAGTTCGCCAACCGCGAAACCTCGGTCGAGATCAAGCAAGACGTCCGCGGCAAGGATGTCTTCATCATCCAGTCCGGCGGTGTGGGCAATGTTAACGACCACCTGATCGACATGCTAATCATCATCCACGCCTGCAAGATCGCCAGTGCCCGGTGCGCGCCCCAGCATACTCCCTCTTCCGTGTTCTCCCCGCACCTGCCCCCCCCCCCTCCCTCCCCAGCGATCGCGACTCACCCTGCCACTCGCCGCCGTCGGTTTCCCTTTCCCGGTCTACCGCCACCGCTCTTGCCATTTCCGATCTGCAGTCGCATTGTCGCGGTCATCCCCTTCTTCCCGTACTCCCGCCAGGCGGACATCCCTTACAGCACCGCCAGCCCGGTGGTGTCGGCGATCACGGCCCCGATGTGCGGGTCGATGGTTGGCGGCCGGGCTATTCCCCCCGGGGAGATGGCTCCCACATCGCGCCGCGTCCGGGAACAGTGGCAGGCCCGCCCGGGCACCCTGGTGGCCAACATGCTGACGGCCGCCGGCGTGGACCACATCATCACCATGGACCTGCATGATGCCCAGTTCCAGGGGTTCTTCGACATCCCCGTGGACAATCTCCTGGCTCAGCCGCTCATGCTGCGCTACATCCGCCAATGCATCCCGGACTATGAGAATGCTGTAATCGTGTCGCCGGACAGTGGTGGTGCCAAGCGGTGCGCTGCATCCCGCCTGCTGTCCTCCCTCTCTCCCTCTCTCCCTCTCTCCCTCTATCCGGTCTCGTGTCTACCCTGCACCACTGACGTCCACCTTACGGTTTCGCCTTGGCCGGCCACCCGGGCAAACGCACAGCGCCATTGTCATCGCCGAGCGCCTTGGCCTGGACTTCGGCCTCGTGCACAAGGAGCGCCGGGCACCGGGATCACCGGTCAATGACACGACTTTCGTCGGCGATGTCAACGGGCGCCCGGCGATCATCATTGACGACATTGTCGACACCGGGACCACCCTGCTCCAGGCGGCCACGGTTCTCCGCCGGCAGGGCGCCACCCGTGTCGTGGCCCTCGTCACGCACGCCGTCCTGGCTGGTGACACGGCCGCCCTGATCGGCTCCTCCACGCACTTGGATGAGCTGATTGTCAGCACCAGTGTTCCCCTCCCGAAGGAGAAGATCGAGGCCAGCCGGAACAAGATCCGCCAATTCGACGTGGCCTACATCTTCGCCGAGGCCATTCGCCGTATCCACAATGGTGAGAGTGTCAGCTACCTGTTCGAGGAGCACTGGCGGTAAAGCGTGGCACCCCTCCCCGCTCCTCCTCCTCCTCCGCCTCCCTGTCCGGGCCTTGCCCGTGTGCGGCGGCTTGTGCTCCGCCGCTGGAGGCAAGAGAAAGAGCCGAGAGCGAGCGAGAGGGCGCAAAAGAGCACAAACGCAGCGAGGCAGGGTGACCAACACCCTTCGCCCTCCTTTCCACCAATACATTTCCCAAAATTGACCCCCCACACCAGGGACTCCTGAATGTTTGGCGAGAACTGCCCTTGTTTGTGCTCCTCGCTCTTTTGCTCGGTACCCCCCTCATCAGCCCACGCAAAAACTCAGACGGCTGGTCGCATGGAAGGCCGGAGGCCGGTCGGCTGGAGGAAGGAGAAAGAAAAAGCCCCGCCAGCCAGCCACAAAGGCACAAGTCTCATGTGAAGGTGTCTTTTCTAGGGAAGGGGGGGGGGGATCGAACAAGGGCACGCCAGCGCAGGAGGCCGCGCAGGGGGAAGGGCGGGGTACGGCAGCCGGGAAACCAAAGAGGGGCAAGCCAACCACCCACCATTCAGAAAGGCGCGAGACAAGGGTGGGGGGAAGGAGCCAGTCCCCGACTTGATCGCGGCCCGGTGGCGCACTCAAGCAAACAGCCCACGGCCGGCAGTCGGGGTCCCAGGGCCGCGGGCGAAGTTGCCGGCGGCCGCCTGACCAGCCATGTGGCCGAGGCGCATGGTTGGCGGGCGCTTGTTGCGCTGCTTGGCGTTCTGGCAGATGGGGCAGAAGTACCCGCCGCCCGGGGCGCGGCCAGCACTGGCAAGGCCACCGGCGGCATGGGCCTGCTGCGCGGCCAGACCCGGCTGCGGGCCGCCAAGACGCGGGCCCCCTCCAGCACCACCGGGCCCAGCCAGTGTGGCTGGCATCCCGGAGGCATCCTGCGCCTTCTCGTCCAGGCTGGTGGAAAGGAAGGTGTGGCCGCAGAAGAAGGCCACCAGTCGCGGGGGGCTGCCTTGCGAGAGGGAGCTTCCGGAGCTCAGGAAGGCGGCCACCTCACGGAAGATGGGCTTCATCGTGAGCGCGTCCTCGGTGGTGTCTGCACGGTCAAGCAGGAGGGGCGAGGGGGGGGGG